TGAACCGGTCTTTCAACAAGAAGTATTTTTTTAAACGCTTACTTATTTATTTTGAGAGAGAGATGATGTGAGCAGGGGAGAGCCAGAGAGAGAGGGAGAGAGAGAGAATCCCAAGCAGGCTCTGTGCTGTCACCACAGAGCCCTACGTGGGGGCTCCATCTCACGAACCACCGTATCTTCACCTGAGCGGAAACCAAGAGTCCGACACTCAGCCCACTGAGCCACCCAGATGCCCCTCAACGAGAAGTATTTTTAATTGCCCTCTTTTTTTCCCCTTTGAATCGTGAAAGAAGATACTCTTGGACTTTTAGAAGCCAGTAGTAGGCCTTCTCCACTTCCACCCCCCCTCCCCGCCGACATGAGCGCCACTGAGCCCCATGGCCTTCCCTCTGGTCCCCCTGTGGCTCTCTGGTCACCTGTGGGCAACAGGGAGGGAGGGATGCACCCCTGCCCACCCACTGACCGGTCCTGACCCCTGCCCTGCTCACCCCGGCCTCTCCCACAGGCTGAGATGCAGGCCGAGATCCGGATGTTCCTGCTCGTGCCCCTGCTGCTGGCCCCGGCCCCTGGGTCCTCGGTGAGTGCTGCCCTACCTGGCCAGGCTCCCAGCTTGGGAGCAGGGAATGGGGGATGGGGAATGCCCCAGGGTTTAGGACCAGGGAGGAGCCACCCCACCGCAGCTCAGAGCCCTGTCCCTGCAGGGAAGGCCAAAAACAATAAAGTTCTTTTAAAAGCGGATGGCACCTTGAAGGGGTCTAGTCAAGGTGCCCGGAGCTGCCCGCCAGGCTGCAGGGTGCAGTTTGCAGGAATGGCAACTTGCCACTGCCCTCCCCCCACCCAGTAGTCTTCCAGGGAGGAAGGAAGGGGAGGGGGCTGTGCTGGCACAAGCCAAGACGCAGGCTAGATGGCTCATCCCATCTGCAGTCTGCCTGGGACAAAGCGGGCTTCCCCTCAGCTTGACTGTTTGTGCTTCGAGGTTTGTGGGTGCCGGTCATTCCTCCTCGCTGGGGGCTGGCATCCAGGGCAGGGATGGCCAACAGACCTCTCTGAGATGATCGACGTCCTGAATCTGTGCTGTCCCGTAAGATGGACACTTGGTTACTGAGTGGCTACACGTGGCTACTGAGCGCATGACATGTGGCTAGTGCAGCTAAAGAACTAAGTTTTTTCTTTGATTTGATTTCTTTAATTAACTTAAATAGCCACACGAGGCTCATGGATATTGCATTAGTGCAAATTTAGAGGACACAGGAGCCCACTGGTGATCAGTGTAGCTGTTTTGTTAACAGGGGCCCGAAGAACAGCTTCCTGGAGAGCAAACCTGGGGGCCTGAGGTTATATGAAAAATCTTCTAGATGGCAGGACAAACCTCCAGGAGAGGAGGGGCCACAGAGCTGGGCTTGGTCCTGGGAGCTGCTCCTGCCAAGCTCCTGCTGGCATTGACTGGGTGGAAGGCACGGAAGCAGCCAGGTCCCATCCTGCCCCCGGAGAGCTCTTCGCTAGGGGGACCCCCACATCCCTGTCCACCGTCTGTGAGACAGACAGTCCCTGGGGAAGGAGGGGAAATGCCACCTCTGTAGAGTGTGAGTCAAGGTGAGAAGGGGCAGGGCCAGGCAGCATGGGCCACAGTCAGAGTGATGGGTGGGCTAGAGGCCACCTGCCCACGGCCACCTCTGCCACCCCATGGTCCTTGCTCCCTAAATGTCACACCATGAGATCCTTGGCACAGGCTTTCTCTGGTGCCTGGGCATGAAGCCATCGCTCAGGTGGAGGGGCTATGTTGCCAGAGTCAAGGCCCCGGGAGGAGACCCAGAGCCACCCCCTAACAATTGTGTGACCGTAAGCAAATCATCAGGCCTTAGATTCCCTTTAATTGGGGGTTATAATACCCACCCTCAGGTTCCTGTGCAGGTGAAGTGAGTCAAGGTGCACAAAACGACCTGGGTCCTATTAGGTGCTTTCTGTCTTAGGAACACCTGAGCAACCTTTTCCTGCCTCCTCCTCCCCACACCATGTGAGCTCAGGTGGGGCCTAGAACTCTCCTCCGCCCCTCCACTGCACGCACCCAGCTCAGCTGCCTCCTATTTCTGGCCTCCGCCAGGGGCAGAGCCACCACGGGGTCCCCGAGTGCTTCTTGGCTCTTCTCAGTGCTGACAGGGGTTAGGGATGAATAAAGCGGATATGCACCCTGGCCATCACGCCCAGTCACTGCCTGCCAACCCCAGGCTGGTCAGGAGTGGTTTCCTCTGTCTCCGTTTCCACCCACTCACACCTTCTCTCACCCCCACCCCTGCACGGCACAGCACAGCCCTGGGAAGAGCGCAGCAGGAAAGGGGGCCCCTGAGTTGCCCTGGGAGGAGGAAGTCAGAGCAGGAGAGACTGGGTACTGAGAGCAGGAGCAGGTGAGGACAGGCCAGCAGGAGGACGGGCTGGACCCGCTTATTCTGGCTCCACACCATCAGCTTGTGGTTTGAGTAATTATAGAGAAACAAAACATGCCTGTGCTGCCCGTGGCTGAAGCCAAAGCCAAATGTGCTTTCGTTCCTCGGGGAGACAGTGTGGAGGGGTAGGTAGCCCGGCTCTAAGATCTGGCAGGCTTGGTCCCTCCCTCCCATCTGCCGGGCAAGTGGATGTCTGCTTCGTGGGTGCTGGGCACAGGAGGCCAGGGCATGCTTGCAGTAGGGCTTTTGGCCCCTTATGGTGAAAGCTGGTGAGTTCTGTAAATGAATGTTCAGGGTGCCTGGTGTTCTTGCCGAGTCCTTGAAGGGCTTTGGCTCCCAAGGTGAGATCGGGGAATGTTTTTAGGCAGGGGTCCTCTGGGGACCCCCAGTGCCCTTGTGGGGGGCTGAGTGACTCACACTCCTCTGCGTGTCTTTTCCTCCAGGCTCCCAAGGTGAGGCGGCAGAGTGACCTCTGGGGCCCCTGGGGCCCCTGGGGCCCCTGCAGCCGGACCTGCGGAGGGGGCATCAGCTTCCGGGAGCGCCCCTGCTACTCCCAGAGGTAGGGGAGGCTGACCAGGGCCAGCCTGTTAGAAGAGGGCAGGGGGAAGGCTGGTCGGGGAGTCCGCTGGTCCTGAGCAATAGGTTTGCTCTGGGAGCAGCATCGGTGGAATATTTGGAATCAAGTCCATTTCCCACGTACGTACACTCTGATTCCAACAATCAACCTGATTTCAGGGGAACTAGAGACAGGCCTGCCTCACGTGCCGAGTCTCTAGTTCCTCATGCTTCAGGTGGCAGGTGCAGTAAATTCTTGGTGAATTACTGAACGATCTTCAACAATTGCTAACCTGTGCATTTTCTCCACCTGCAGCCTCTTTAAGTATACATGTCTCCCACTTTAATAAGTGAGAGATCAAGCGCCTAGGTGCCCTGCACTCTGATAGGTGCCATGGCGGGTGGGGCACAAAACAAGGGGGTGACCCTTTGCCTGTTGGTGCGTTACCTCACTATTCTTGAGAACCTTGCGTGAAGAGGAAGAGACATGAGCTATTATTCTAAGCACCTTATGCTCATATACACCTTAAATGGCAGAATAACCTTACCAGATGTGCATATATTCCGTCTTATTTTATCTCCAAAGGCAGAATTGGGGTCTTCTTTGGAAAGCTGCTTTAAGAGGCCGAGTAGCCCCGAGTTAGAGAAAGTCCAGAATAGGCTGCTGAGTCCAGCTTCTTCCAAGTATAAACTCGGGGCTCATTACACCTACCTGGGGGAACCTGTGCGTGCACAGGCATCCCTCCTCTGTCCAGCGGGGCCTGCGGGGGAGCCCCAGGAGGAGGAGGGGGTGTTGGTTGGCGGGGTCCGGGCCTTCCCGGTGCGGTGTTCTCATCCTCAGGACAGACGGAGGCTCCAGCTGCGTGGGCCCTGTCCGGAGCCACCGTTCTTGCCACACTGAGGTAAAGCTCTGGGACCCCCTACCCGGCTGACCTCCCAGTCCCCGGGGCGTCCTCCCACTGGTGCACAGCCTGGGCTGCGGGAAGCCCCTTCCTCACCCCACACCGCAAATGACAGCCTCCCCTCCAGCAGCCCAAGGCCCCAGCAAGGAGGTGCTCTGGAGCTGCACCAAGCAGCAAGGAGGTGTGGGGGGGGGGGGGAGGAAGCGCCCACCTGCCCCTCCCTTCCCTGCTGGCCCCCCCGCAGAGCTGCCCCACCGGTGCCAGGGACTTCCGGGCCGAGCAGTGTGCCCAGTTCGACGGCCAGGACTTCCAGGGAAAGCGTTACAAATGGCTGCCCTACTATGGGGGTAAGTGGCGGTCCTCCGCACCGGTGCCCCTGCTGCTGCACCCCGCCTTGCTCTGCACTGCGCCCCACCTGTTTGGGATCTCCTCCGTACATTGATCTTCCATTACACAATTCCTACCACCATTTTACAGATGCTCTGTCGAATACATTCAACAACAACAACAACCACCTTACGGTGCCACCGTTCTCCCGGCGTGTGCCCACTGCAGCACAACAGCCGGGGTCATTTTGAGGTCTCTCCATCCTTTTTTCCATCTCTGTTTTTCAAACAAAGCCATGAAGGCCACGTCCTTGCCATGTGAAGCGCGGCTTTGTTTGGCCTGCTCCAGAAGTATTCCTCATGGTGCACAGAGGTCCTCAAGGTGCACAGAAGCCTTGGGGAGGAGGAGTGCTGGTAGGGTGGGTCCATGTTTGGGCCAACTGCAGGCTGGGGCTGCAAGGGGCTTGGTATGGCAAGAGTCCATTTACTCAGGATCTCTGGCCCCCAAGGGCTTGCTCTGAAGAGCTTTGAGGAGAGTGGTTAATTTTTAGAGCAATACGGTTTCAGAAAAAACACTTGTAGGTAATGAAAACATTTTAGAGGCGTCAGAAGATTCCTTAGGCTAATCCTGAGTGTTAGTTTTTACTGCCCATTGCAAATGACTCCTGGGAAGTATGGTACTCTGGATTCCGAATCAATGAGCGTTTATATCCTGTGTGTACCAAGGGATGGGGAAGAGGGTCTTGGCTAGAGGAGTGGCCCCAGGGGAGCCTGTTGACATTCTTTGCTCTGCCTGGATAATTTAAATGTATCCGTATTATAGAAAAATAAGGGGGCACCTGGGTGGCTCAGTCGGTTAAGCGTCCAACTCTTGATTTCAGCTCAGGCTGTGGTCTTGCGGTTTGTGAGTTCGAGCCTTGCAGCAGGCTCCGTGCTGACAGCGTGGAGCCTGCTTGGGATTCTCTGTCTCCCTCTGTGTCTCTCTCAAATGTTTACAAAAATTTTTAGAAAGAAAAAAATTGGAACACAGAGGAAAGGTTAGAAAGGGTCATGAAAGGGATGCCTTCTTTGGTGTTTCACAGGATTGGTCTAGCATTCCATTTTAGCATTTTTCACGTTATTTTCTCTATATACATTTACGCATTTATAGTTATTACATAGCACCATTTTGCATCGTGTGTTATAAGCATCTTCACACGTTACCGCATAGTCCTTGTAATTCTTTATAGCAAAGTCAACGTGCATAGTATTCTATGAATAATTTCCTTAGAATAGCTGACTGTTAACACATGGGCTTGTCTATAAGGATGAGGTAGACCTCTTCAAGTGGCTGGCTTTTTATCTTGGGGTTTTTCTTCAACTTGGTCCCCAGGAATGCAGCAATTTTGTGGCCATCCCTTCTCCCTGGGGTGGGGCGGGGTTCTGAGCCACTGGGGGAACTGCTGCAAGGGCTTTCTCTCTCTGCCATCTGTGTGATTCTGGCCCCTGCCCATGCTTCCCTGTTCCTAGGGTAGGACTTGGTGCTTGCCCGGGGTCTCAGCTTTTCCCTTTGCCTGCTCAGCCCCGAACAAGTGTGAACTGAACTGCATTCCCAAGGGGGAGAACTTCTACTACAAGCACAGGGAGGCTGTCGTGGACGGGACGCCCTGCGAGCCTGGCAAACGGGACGTGTGTGTGGAGGGCAGCTGCCGGGTGAGTTGCGCCCCTGCCCACCTCCCACCTGCTCCCCGCCTCCCCCCATGCTGCCCATCCTGGCCTTGGGCTTATTGAAGGATGTCCCCCTGCC